ATTAATAAGCAGACAACAAAAAAGCCACCATTTTGTTGACATAGTCAGAGATGCATTGTTGCTTAATCAGCACAGGGCAAAAAGCTAACCTTTCTAAAACTCAGAAAAAGTGCCATTGAAACAGTTAAATTGATTCAACAAGTTTATGGGGATAATTGTTTATCTCCTGCACAAATTTGCAGGTGGTATTTATGATTCAAAAGTTGTGTAGAAATGATTACTAATGCACCTAGACCTGAACGTCCCATTTCTGTTCGTTAAGATGAACCCATTGCAAAATTCAGAGAATGAATACAAAAAGATAATTGCTTTACTGTTAAGATGATGGCAGATGAATCTGGTGGTAATAGAGAGACCATTCATAACATTTTTGTGGAAGATTTTACCAAGAAAAAGTTGCTTGCCGCTTTGTGCATTTTTGTGCACGATTTTAGGAACTGAAAAATTGGTTGCCGGATTGTACCACATTCGTTGTTTAATGACCAAAAACATCAGCTGGTTGAGTACCCAAGAGACATCACCAAAACAAGAATTTTCGGCTCAAAAACAAGTGTGTGTTCTCAGCCTTCCATCCTGTTTCCCAGATTTGTCTCCCAGTGATTATTTTCTATTCCAAAAATTACAGTTTCTTTTGAAAGGACGTATTTTTAACGATTTTGATGACATACAAAGGGCTGTAACATCGACTTTAAGGGTCATAGCAACAGAAGAACTACAGAGGTCGTTCCAGTGTTTGTTAGATCGTGCTACTTGCTGTATCAATGCATAAGGGGCTAACTTTGAATAGAATACAGGTTATATCTTCAACTGTTGATTATTTTAATTATATGGAATTAGTGTCATTACTTAATTGTCGGACCTTGTATATCAATGGGATTATATGTACGGGATACCCATGAATGAAATCCGTGAATATCTCCCCGTCTCACGCTTTCTCTTCGCATTTTCTAATTCTCTTTCTCTTTGGCCTTAAATTTCGCTAGGTGTAACAGTAAGTAAATTTTACCCCACCAGGACATCACACAGAGTTATGAACACCCGGTGACACAAAGTGCCACCATAAAGATGAGGATTACCGTCCAGAGGTCCCGGAAACCCCGTTCAACCGTTAGGTTATATTAGGGCCTCTGGAAACAACCAGGGTGGGGCTCTATAATAACGAACAATGTCATCCCACAAGGGGATGATGCGTATGTATACTAGGGTATACATAAAAAAATAATCAATTTTTCAAGGAAAATAACCTATACAATTACATTTTAAAAATTGAGTTGATATTTGCGCTATTTTGTTTTTAAAGATAGCAAATTGAGCATATTTTCTTTGTTTCTATACTTGTGTGATCACAATGCATTGTATTCTAACACACTTTTTGGAAAAAACTTTGTCCTTTTTTTTTAAATTTATATTAATGTTCAAAAAGAAAAATTTAAAGAATACAAAGCATTTTGGGAAAAAAGAAATATTTAAGCAAACATTTGAACATTGAAAATATTTAAATGCAATTCTTTTAAAGCAAGTTTTCGTTATTTGAAGCCCTACTCTGGCTTTTGCCAGGGGCCACAATATAGCCTGGCCATAGATATGGCCTAAAGGCTGAACGCGGTTTCTGGGACCTCTCCCCGGTGATCCCCACGCACATGGTGACACTTTGTGTCATCGGGTGTTTATCGTTTGTGTGATGTCCTGGTCGGGTAGAAAGTCAGTCAGTCAGTCATTGAAAATATTTATTTCCACAAATTATTATTGATTCTATTTTATTTTTCACCACATTGTAATGTCACCCACAAGGCATGTGTGTTAAAAATTTTAGCATTATAGCTAATAGTGAAATAGTATAAAATTAACGAAAACATCTGCCCAGACAAACAAGTTCAACCTAATAAAAAGCTAAAAAATACCCAATCACAAGCTAAAACCTCCCATAACAACGATCTAAATCTCTTCCCTTCTTCCCCCTCCCATATTCTTTAATGTCTTCCTAGATTATATTTTAATTATCATCGTCATCATCATCGTCATCATCATCATCATCATCATCTTCGTTATCATGTGACAGGTCCTTCAGATAACATAGTGCACATTACAGCATGTCTGAAATAAACTTAATAACTCGCCAGATCTGCCTCGTGCACTTTTCTACTCAATGTGTCCCTTATGGTGTGTCCCCATCTTCTTGCAGGTCGATCCCTGCCCCTCTTTCCACAATTGCTGCTATTCTTTGTAATCCGCCCTTACGCTTCATATGGGCAAAATATTTGTTTTCAAAACAAAATATAAAATTTCTAGCCAAGCTTCCTTGGTGTTTAGATATTTTATGATTACAGTAATTCCTTTCTGCAACGATACATTTCTTGGGATAATAACGTGGTAGTTTTCCCTTACTTTCCACACCCACGGTGGTTTTATAGACTATGTCCTCACACCTCAGCAATCTGAGTGCCCGGCTCTGTGATGCTCCTGCTAACAGCAGAGGTCACCCGAGAGGTGTCTAGTTAGCTGTGGGCCTACTCTGTCCCCATAGCTGCGTTGGCCACATCACAGTGTGTTTATCATCCTCTACAGCGTAGAGGTTCAGGTGGGTTTTCCCTTGACGAGGTCTTGAGACAAGAATGACATTTCCAAAAACTCGCTAGTAACTTTAGTTGTTTTGCTTATAGAATAATATTCCGCATATCTTTGTGTAATTTTATACATTTTTTATCACATGTGAAAAGTATTCTTCATCATGTACACTTTCTCTCAGACGATCACCTGCCTTTCCCACCTCTTTGTTTTTTTCACTTATCACAGTGAGACATGAAGAAAGAAACAGTATGACACACACCACCGTGCCACGTGCGTCGATAACGTATACAATACAGATTTAGTAAGAAAGGTCTGCTCGTATCATATTTTAGTTGGCATTTGTGTTTATTGAAGATATTGCTTAATGCATGATTTTCATTCAGTGAAAAACTTTTTGTCGTTGATCCAGCCAGTGTAAAACTGTCCAGCTTGTGAAACTTTGTAATCTTAAAGTGACTCTGCAACAGAATAAACCATACAAATACTTTAGTCCGGGAAGATGTATACAGTATACAGTAACTGGAAACGACAGGTTTTACAGGCCGAGGTTCTAATTTCGGATAAGGTGTTGGATTTTCTGTCTTGGACAAAAATACCATCCTAACATAAACAGCCTGTGGCGGCTAAACGTGCTTTAGTAACGTTTACTTCTTTTAGGCTATGTGATCCGAAGACCTAAATGTTGAAGGCTGACCAACTGGATATGAAAAATCTCAATGCATCCTGAAGAATCTCAGTACTGATGGCCGACTAATAGGATTTTAAGGTTTGACACCGTGAGATTAAAGAATCTGAAGGCTGATTGCAGACTACAAGTAAGTAAAGATCCCATTTCACGCCTTGGGCGCATCGGGCATATGGGAAGAGCGTCCAGTATTTTTTACAAACCAATCGGCACTGGATGGGTAATGTGATCATCATTACGCCGGCCGTCTTTACTTCCCCAGGACGGCCATCCTAGTACCCTTTTTAGGCTGGGTTGACATGTGACGCCCCATACCATGATACAAATCCACGCAGCCAGCAGTGGGTTTCGTTCGCGGTACGTTGAATTACGAGTCTGACTCGCAACGCCTTAGCCACGGACGCCGCTCAGACTTCGCGGGCAAGCCGGAATATCCCCTTCAACCTCCATGGAAATTATAATAAGGACATCAGTCCTGTGAAACAAACAATACTGTGCGGATAGGGATTGTAATGTCTGAACCAGTCATGCGGCCCTAAATCCTTAGGCTCAAGGAACCCTCTCCACCCTCCCACTTTCCCCATTTCCTCCCCCTGTCCTGCATCAATAAAAGAAAGGTGGCAAATATCGGCGGTAACCACATTTGTTTCTAAATACTTTATTGACTGCCTAGCACATAAGATAGTTTGATACATTGCACTGCAACAGAAGGTAGTCTGATACATTATTAGAAAAAAAAAGTTTACTAGAACAGAAGATAGTCTGATACATTAATAGAAAATAATAGTTTACTATAACAAAAGATAGTCTGATACATTAGTAGAAAATAATAGTTTACATTAGGAATAGTCTGCATATGAAGGAAGATGGAAAAGTAAATATATTGTGTCCAACACGCCGCTATGCACAGATTAAACATTACTGAGGTTCTGACATTTAATATTAGTGCCTTCTAACATTCGTTGAGTTGGATTTGGAGTTCGTATAGACAATATTGCTAAATCTTGGAACATTTATTTACATTAACTAAATATACACATTTAAATAATGCGGCATACAATTTATTTTTAACTTGGCTCCACGGCGACTCTTTGAAACAAAAATATGAAACCCTAATTCACCTTAGGACCTGTCTGAGACAACAAGAAATCATACAAACTATCGATGGAGCTATTTGTAATGGAGTCTTTGTTGCCTGCGTAGATGACAAGTTTATGGAAATGCGATGTTGATGTTTAATTATAAACTCGGAGGACATAATGAGCTACAGCAACATCTACATCCAAGAGTGTCAGCATAAACAATTTGCCACAACAGAAGAAATAGTTCGATTATGTTACTGGTTCTTAACAGACAGGATGATAGTATTTAGTTCAGCTTCGTTTTATTTCACCTATTTGTTCCCCTTATGCTAATTTAATGGCATTTTATTCCATTATGGCAGCCGTGGTAGTATAGTAGCTAGACGACCGCCTGCCGGCCCGAATGTATTGGGTTCAAATCCGCACCGAGGAAGATTTTTTTTTAAAGAAATGACCGTATATGGCTGTCAGATTGACCCAGCCTAACGTCGGTACCAAGTAGTATTTATGAATGTGTATATACAACATAGCTCGATAGGTTCATCTCCACGAAAAGTTAGATTTGAAAAAAAAAAAAAAAATTAGGGGGTGGGGGCGCACTGACATTTTTATTACATTTTGTTTCGAACTGTTGACAAATTGACCACACAGCACAAAGATATTACCTTGAACAAAAGTAGCGGAGAAACCAGCCTTCTGGCCAGACTGATCACTGACAAATTTCACGTACAGCGTGTTATCACAGGACTTGATTGTTTCTGGCTTTCTATCTCCACAGTACTTGCCAAGCAAAGGCGATGCCTCTGTTGGTCCATCGTAAACTGCTACGTAATCGTATTCACAGTTTATGTGGTTTTGTAACTAATGAAAGCATCAGAAGAAAACATAAATACAAAATAAAAGTTCCTGACAAAGAGGTACAGCGATTTAATATTATTGGAATTTTACATCAGCGCCGACAGAGGCCGACTTTTTCAAAAATGACTTTGCTTCCATATCGATCCCACCACACACCAAGAGCCTATTGATCTATAAAATGCAGGTCTAGCCCAATAAGCCTAGTACGGCTGGAGGCGTGAAATAGTGTCATTTCCTTTACTTTCACACTGGTTGCGATATTTAGAACTATTTACATTGTCAGAGCTGGCGTGCGATTACGGAGGCATGGTTTCAACTAGTCACGAATCGTTTGTGGAATAGAGATGAAGAACCTGGGATCATCAACGCAATTATTACTTCACACATGTTGTGCGAAATGAGCTGAGGGATACATTTCTAGTCTTCGACAAATGTAGACATTCTCACAGTTTAGTTTATCTCTGTAACATCTTCATCAACTCATGTGATACAGAAATGTGACTAACATTGCATGCTTCTTCTTCTAGTCCATGTCGTATCGTATAACGGTGGTAGTCATGTATACCCACAACCGTCTGTCTTATGTACTTTCTATTAGTTCTAGCACGGAAGATCTTCTATACTGCGATGTAAAACTGCCCAGCATCTTCTTTCTCGGTTTTCCTGTGCCAGTTTTCCTTTCCAACTTCATTATCGTCACTGTGTAATCCAATTGTCTCCTTCTCATCTAATGATAAAACAATGTTGTATGTCTCCTTCTTATATGGGAAGTCAGTTCTGTTCTTGAGTTCTGCTTTACCTCATTCGATATATAAACTTTTACTAATTTGAAAAACACTGCATCACAATTCAAAAGATTATAGACAGTTACTAACACTGCATTAAAAAAAAAAAAAAAAAAACATGGAACAGGGTAAATGACCAACAACGCAGAGAGGTTATGTGACTGTAGCCAATCCAATGACCTAATAATTGGAGGATCACTCCTTCCAATTCACAAGGTCACATGGAGATCTCCAGATGGACACACGTAAAACCAAATTGACCATATTCGTATAAATGGGAAAAGGAGGCTTTCCCTGCAAGACGGCAGAGAAGGTAGACCAGCGGATATATGGGGAGGGTCTTAATTTACTTCTTGGAAAAAGGTTAAAACTAAAGAGAACTTAAATAGGAGAACAGAAACCGCAGCTACATGATGTAGGAAAATTGCAGGACACACATATCAAACAGTAATTCAAGATAGAACTCAAAATACAGATGCGGCATTTTACAAGAAGAAACAGAAATGGTAATCGGGAATTTTAATTAAGCAGTCAAATTAAAATGGGATTTCCCAATCGACTTGGGAGAAAATAGCACAAGGGAGAGATAAAAAAAAAAAAGACAAATGTTAGATGCAAAATCAGCCAGACTGAAAAAAAAAATATTTTCTAAAGAATATGCACTAAAGAACAATGAGGTTAAAGTAGGAGCAAAGGCAGATAAAATGTCGTATACTGGAAAACTAGTAGCAGAAGCAGCCTGAGCAGCAAATAAGCAGGACATCAAAACATTGCACAACATAACTCAGAAACTGAAAGGAAATGTGGTATTGCACCAACATTTGCCTTTAAAAAGAGAATGTGGGAAAAATTATTTTTCGCTGAGAAAAAAAAAATTAGAAAGGTGGAAAGAACTCTTTCAGGAATTACTAAACTGTCCAGACCTACCTGTACTTGCTGATATACCTGAGGCACAGGAAGACCTACAGATAAAACAGCCAATAGCCTTTTTCAGAGGAAGAGGGTAGGGATGTGATTAAAGCTTAAAAGGTTAACAGAGCACCTGGATGTGATGGAATCTGCACAGAAATGGTGAAAGTGGAGGAAATTGAAACGCAAAAACAATTATGTAAGATTTTTCAAGAAATCTGGAACAAAGAAAAAATCTCACAGGGGTGGAGAAAGGGTACCATTATTAAATCACCATCCAGGAAATAAAGGATACTGTAACAACTGGAGATGTATCACATTATTATCAGAAACTAGTAACATCTTTAGCCGGATAATTCTTAAAAGAATGACTCAAGTACTTGATAGTATAATACGGCAATAGCAAGCAGGTTTCAGAAAGGAGAAATCATGTATTGATTACATTTTCCAGCTGCATCAAATAGTTGAATAAAGTAACGAGTGACATAGTGCAATTTATATGACCTTTGTGGATTTAAAAAAAAAAGCTTTTGATAGCCTGCATAGGGAATCAATATGACAGATTTTGCGTCACTATGGTGTACCAGAGAAAAAAGTAAATTTGATCAAAGCCATTTTCTTAAAGTTTCAATGCAAGGTAGTTTGTGATTATTATATAACAGAAAGTTTCTTTGTCAACAGAGGAGTCAGAAAGGCATGCATACTATTCCCCTTTTTGTTCAGTTTGCCCATCGACTGGCTGACGAAGGAAGTTACACGAGATAGGAAAAGATGCATCAGGTGGTCACTCTCTTCAGTTTTTGAGGATTTGGACAAAGCAGATGATATCAGCCTTATATCAAGCCGTCATGTGGACGCTCAAGAAAAGATTGAAAGACTTTCCACAACATCCCTTTAGATAGGACAAAAAAACAAAAAACAAAAAAAAAAAACCAGTAAAACTAAAGTAATGAGAAATAATTTCAAAACAGAAAATCCAATTATCCCAAATGATAAAGCAATAGAGCAAGTTGAAGAATGTATATACCTAGGAAGTAAAGTTACTCCAGATGGAGATTCTGAAAAAGATGAAACATCAAGAATAAACAAAGCAAATCAAGCATTTGCCATGCTTAAAAATATATGGAAGTCAAAGAGATTTAGTTTGAAGATAAAAACTAAGAATATACAAGAGCAACATTTGACACTTGAGATGACTTTTGGGGGTGTATGTGTTGTAATCTGACATTATATGGTGTTATGTACCTTTATAGACCAATGCTATTATTGTGAGATGTGTTGCATATCTGGTGATGCTCATGAGTTCCCAGCTTGGTGGTTGGACCGTTATGCTAGGGTAGGTGGTGCTACAGCGGCACTAATAACCTTCATCATAAATGGTAATTAAACCCAGAGTTGATGGTGCTAAATGGCACTGACGACCTCTATCGCAAATGATATTGGGCACTTGATGCCTAGGTCAAAAGAAGCAAAGGTACCTAACTATGAAATATGTGTTGTGTCAAATGTTGAAGTAGACAGGGATGTCATATTTATTTTTTTCCACAGGTAACGGTGCTATCTGGTTTTTTGTCAGTATTTATTAGTTGTTTAGTAGTTGTCAGTATTTTGTTATTCATTTCTAGTACAAGTGGCGTAGTCGGGTAGTATAGGTGGCCATTTTGTGCTTTGTGTCTAGTCTAGTTAGCGCAGGTTATCAGAGTGATTTATATTTAAGTTTGGTTTTGAATGGTTTTGAGCTGCCGAGACAGTGGCAACAGTTATGATGTGTCTCTCGATGGCCATGCAGCCGAGACGGTGGTTAATTATGTCTCTTGATAGGTTTTCATTAAATCTCCTGCATGCTACAGATTTATAAAAAAAAATCTATGTTATTGTGTCTCCCACATCCAATTACATTACCACGTTTAACTTTACCTTGCCCACTGTCTAACAGTGATGGCAGCATTGCTATGTACTTATAATTTAAAGAGTGCAGGCTTTCTGATTATAAAATGGATAAAACTCATGTGAAATCAGCTGTAAACTACTCAGCAGGTCGGTTGCTTGGTAGAGCTGAAAACTCAACAAATTCAGCAGCAACGATAAAAGCTTTAATGATTTTTCTGTGTTTGGAAGTTACCATGAAGTAGTAGAGTTGGGACCAATGCTCAGAACGACATCAAAGGATCTAAGTGCAAATTGCTTTAGATAATCAAAATTATTCAGAAATGTGGTTCTATAGTTTTGGCAGTTATTGCAGACAACTACTGTTAACCGCTAAGTGTACAACAATCTTCTCAAGTTCAGCAGTACATGCATAGAAAATCCAGGCATTCTAGGCAAAAAAATCTTCTTGCTGTATGACTGTTCACCTGCTGAAATGTACACTTGTATATGGAGAAATTGGATAAATCAGAAAGACACAGAGCAGACATTTTCGTATCCCTCCACAGCTGGGCTAATGCTGAATGCAGCATCTGCCTTAAATTATACCAGCAAAGAGCAAGTGCTTCTTTTTCACATCAAAAGGATCGGTATCAGACCGAGCGCCTCAATACTGTGAAGTTAGCGCCATCTTTGACATACAAAGTACTTTACACTTCCAGTATAGAGTGACAGAATGTTTCACTAGCTCATTAGTGAAGTTAGCACTAACTTTAATATGTAAAGCTCTTTACCCTTTCAGTATAGAAAGGCAGAATGTTTCACTAACTCTTGCTATTTTCAGTGAGTACAGCATTGCTGCTCTAAAGTTTGTAAGAAATCAAGAAACAATAAACTTTTATTCAAGCCATTTAGAGGTGGTGGCATATTATGAATGTTAAAAGCAGGTTCTCAGGCAGAAATACTGGTAACTCCTTTGCCAGTCCACTCACTTCGGTTAATGATGAATCGCTTTATTATTTGTCTGGTTGACTGAATGGATTAAGATGCCTGCAGTGAAGGGAAAGCTAACAAGAGAGACAAATACTGCTTTGGTGCATACTATAAAAGCAAGAGGGACACATACTGCTTCGGTGCACACTGTAAAAGCTGTGATTGAACTGGCTGTATTCTTTTTCTACTTTTAATGTGGAATTCCTACTTTTGGGGAAACTACAAACATATTATTTAGAAGACAGATTTGGTGAATACTGAAAATTGACAAGTGCAAACTATCTTGTGTCGGTTGCAATTCACAACTTTGCAGAGACTGTGAGCACAGTGGATAAGGAGTGCCATAATGTTTTTACTGTCATTCAGTCTGATGTAGACAAAGTATTCAGTGTATTTCATGTAAGACTTTTCTACAAGTGGACAAAACATCAACAGTTGATGTTCAGCCAG